CAAAAGAAGTCAATACACCATAGTTAATCATCAAATAAATTTCCCTTTATTTGGTAAGAAAAGATGGAAATATATGTAAAGAGTTAAAACAATTCCAAAACCAAGTATATGGAAACCACCAAGACCTGCCATCCCCATTTCCCCACAGCTACTGTTGCCCCTCCCGGGGACCCACTACAGTCTTCTTCCATCAAAGACTATGAGAGACGAAATAAAAAATAAAAGCTAGCGTGCAAAGAGCAGTGAGCATTCACCAGACATAATCTCTCTGGCCGTGTTTCTGAAATGTAGATCAAAAGGTGTATTCTTCGGGGAAGAGGGTCTGCAGGATTTTGAGATTTTATGTTTTCACTTAAATGATCTGGAAATTTTGATGTTAGCATATTATGAATTGTCTTGTAACCAAGCGCTGACATTTTATTTCAGTGTCTATATTTGTATTTCTGCTTATGGTCACATTGGCTCCAAGCAGCCATAACTAAATGATGTCAGACTAATGAGAAAAGAAGTGGACTAAATACATAAATGATATGCCCAAACTAAGTGAAGACCAAACAATGTCATATGCTGTTCAAGAGAAGTTTCCATAGTATTCCAATAAGAGGTATGGATGGGAGACTTAAGTCATTGTCTCACACACAAATAGACATATTGAACTCAGAAGAACACATACTGTGCTGGGCAGTGCCATGTTCAAGTGGCAAAAGCCAAAATGGAATAGAGTAGTCATGAGATTTTGTTGGTTTCAAGAAGAGGCTTGTTTACTTCTGATAAAATCGGCAAAGGAAGATGTGATGAAAAGACCTCAGTTATACCAATTACTGCTTAGTAGATGATTGTCGAAATGGCTCTGATAAGAGTAATGTGATACAACTCCCAGCACAAATTGTTGAAGGGAAATGTAATCTAATCATATGACTTTGGTCAATAAGTTTCCAAAATAGTCCTCAGTAGGTGTTATCTACTTGAGATATTCATAACCTGATGTCAGCCTTGTCTTTCTTGACCTCTGTTGCTTTGGACACTGTGAAACAGATTCCTCCTTCTGGAAATGTTTCCTCCCTTTGGGCTCCATAACCAGATTGTCTTCCTGCTACCCTGAGAGCTCCGACTCGGCTTCCTCTGTGAGCTTGCTTCTCAGACAGTGCTGTGCCTCAGGCCCTATCTCAGCTCCTACCTCTCCCAGTCAATGTCGTACCACAAATATGCTGACCATTTCCAAATCTCTTCTCTTGAACTTTTCCACCCTCTTCTCTTGAACTTGACACCCAGGACTTCCTTTTGTTTGTATTAAAACAAAAACAATAACAATAATAATAACCCAAACCACACAAAACTGTATACTTAAAATGTACAAATCAGTTACCATCTTCCTCACACATCTGATACCTTCTGATAATCTTTGTTTCAGTCAGTGGCATCACCTGTCCAGTTAACAGAGATGGAGACTTAGGACTCAGGACTCATCTCTGACTCTTTGATCATTAAATGCATTGCAAACGTTTTACATTGTTGCAGGAGCGGCCACGGGAAATGGATCTCTCAGACACTGAATACTGGAGGAAGGAGTTTATTTGGCTGGGAGCAAGGTGGCATATTTACCTAATAGCCAAGCTCGCCTAACAAAGGAAAGTTCCTTCTTTATATAGGCTTATACTTTAGATGTTACACGTGGAAGAATCTTAGGTTTATAGCTTAACATATGAAAAGGGTCTCAGTTTACAGTCTTAGGAATTACATATGAAAAGGGTTTCAGTTTACAGTCTTAGGAATTACATATGAAAAGAGTTTCAGTTTACAGTCTTAGGAATTACATATGAAAAGGGTTTCGGTTTGCAGTCTTAGGAATTACATATGAAAAGAGTTTCAGTTTACAGTCTTAGGAATTACATATGAAAAGGGCTTTGGTTTACAGTCTTAGGAATGAAAAGGGGAAGTTTACAGTCTTAGGAATGAAAAGGGGAAGTTGATCTGAGATGCCTGGGTCTCCCTCTTCAACATCATAAATAGAACCAGTATTATCTATACATTTTTTAGGTGTGTGGCTGTGAGGAAGGTAGGTAGGTCCCTGATTTAGTAGCATTCAGACTGAACAGCTCTTTTTTGGCTTGGCTAAGGTGAGGGGCTTGCTATTGGTCTATTGCTGAATGGCATTTGAAAGTTGTTGAAGAGGTGAGCAAAATGCAAAGTGATCAAGGACTTCCCTTGTAAATCAGAACTCCTGACCCTTTTTCTCTAAGGTCTCAAGTTATGACAATACTTCTAATGGCCTGGGATGGTCCTAAGAAGGCTCAGTTGTCAGAGATGTACAATAACAGCCCTCAAGGAGAAATCCACTGTGCTGGTGGTGACGTTGGTGATGGAGTTGGTGATGGTGTCTTATCCTAGGGGAGGGTCAGTGAGGAACAGGGTCAGATGATTGCATTACATTCTGATCCACCACATTAGACCCTGGGGGTCGTCAAGAGAAATGGCTGGTTAACTTTAAATGCAACTGTCTGTCACTAGAGTTGTAACCAGTAACCCAGTGTCCCGTGGTGTGGAGTACCCATTGCTACGACCCTTATGCCTGAGAGCTGAACGTCTTGTTTCCGATACCAGCCTCACCAGAGCAGTGGTTGGAACACGAGGCAGAGTGACTGGACTTCTCAGTTTCTTTTCTGCACAACGATAGTTAACAGGACTACCTTGTTTGGACTAAGTAAGCACCTGGAGGGTTTTACTTTTCAAGGAAGGAAGAACTCAGAGAATGAGAATGCACTTCTTACAAGCAGTAGGATGGAAGCTCAGATTTGATTTATCTGCGTAGTGACTTAAATTTGGCTTATTTTCTATAGCAGTAGGTAAAAGCTCCTAGAACAGGGGATGGCAATTTGTTGGTATTCAACAATGTGTGGATTTGAATCTAACTCTTGCGTAATCAGACACACCTCGTACTATCTTTGAGAAATTGTAAAGGACAACCCGGCCACCATTCTGAATTGACATTTCCCCTGCAGAAGAGTCAGTCCAATCTTTTTGTTTGTTTGTTTGTTTGTTTTTAGAGTCAGTCCAATCTTAACAGGCTTGTGAATA